TCAGGAAGGAACATGGCCTAATTCCCCATTCTTTAAAAATTCTCTGGGTTGCGTTTTTCCACTGAAAAGTATTTCATGCTGTATTTGCTTCACTCCAACTTGATTTCCATAGTTTTGTAAATTCTGGGGAAATTGTGGGTGCCATATTTTTCTTCCTGAATGAATGACATCCATATGGCCTGCAGTTCCACCATCTTCTCTTGCTGTACCATTGGGAAATTATCAGATTAATAGTTGAACACTAGGTTGGAAGGCACCAGATTGGAGAAGACTGTCTTCTAACAATGATTTTACATTGCCATTTTTTCTTTCATTCATTTGTTTACTTTGTTGAGATATCCAACAATAATGTCATTTATCATAATAATATATATGAATTGGGGTCTTTTATGTTGTGTGTGTGTGTGTGCGTGCACGCACACCATCCAGTCTGTCAATTTATGGTGACCCTATAGCAGCGTTTCTCAACCTGGGGGTCGGGACCCCTGGGGGGGTTGTGAGAGGGTGTCAGAGGGATCGCCAAGGACCACCAGAAAACACAGTATTTTCTGTTGGTCATCTGGGTTCTATGTGGGAAGTTTGGCCGAATTCTATCGTTGACGGGATTCAGAATGCTCTTTCATTGTAAATGAACTATAAATCCCAGCAACTACCAACTCGCAAATGTCAAGGTCTATTTTCCCCAAACTCCACCAGTGTTCACATTTGGGCATATTGAGTATCCGTGCCAAATTTGATCCAGATCAATCATTGTTTGAGTCCAATGATTGTACTTTCTGGATGCAGATGAACTACAACTCCAAAACTCAAGGTCAATGCCTACCAAACACTTCCAGTATTTTCTCTTAGTCATGGGAGTTCTGTGTGCCAAGTTTGGTTCAATTCCATCGTTGGTGGGGTTCAGAATGCTCTTTGATTGTAGGTGAACTATAAATCCCAGTAACTACCAAACAACAAAATCAATTCTCCCTCCAACCTCACCAGTATTGAAATTTGGCATATTGGGTAACGTAAGATAAAAGTTTTCCCCAGTTGTGTCCAAGTCTGGGGGTTGGTGCTCAATTTCTAGGCCGAAGAGCTGGTGTTGTCCATAGACACCTCCAAGACCGACATGACTGCATGGAGCTCCGTTATTGGGTATTTGTGCCAAATTTGGTCTAGTGAATGAAAATTCATCCTGCATTTCAGATATTTTCATTATGATTCATAACAGTAACACAATTGCCGTTAGGAAGTAGCAACGATATGGTTGGGAGTCACCACAACATGAGATACTGTATTAAGGGGTCGCAGCATTAGGAAGGCTGAGAAACACTGCCCTATAGAAAGTCATAGGAAGGAGGGAGCAAACTTGTTTTCTGCTTCCCTGGAGACTAGGATGCGGAACAATGGCTTCAAACTACAAGAAAGAAAGGAGATTCCATCTGAACATTAGGAAGAACTTCCTGATTGTGAGAGCCGTTCAGCAGTGGAACTCTCTGCCCTAGATTGTGGTAGAGGCTCCTTCTTCGGAAGCTTCTAAACAGAGGCTGGATGGCCATCTGTCGGGGGTGCTTTGAATGCAATTTTTCTGCTTCTTGGCAAGGGATTGGACTGGATGGCCCATGAGGTCTCTTCCAACTCTATGATTCTATGATTCTATGCAAGGAATACTCAGAGGTCTCTTCCTATGAAATGTAGCCTACAGCATTCATTGGTAGTCTTCCTTTGACACACTACTCATACTTTAGAATTAATGCAGTTTGACACTACTTTAGTTGGAGAGATCAGGAAAGTCTCTTCACTAGAAACGTTCAAAAAGAACCTTAAAACCTGGCTTTTTCGCTTCGCCTTTGGCGAGTAGGTGCATAACATGACATTACTGTACCCCTCAATGCTTTTGCCACTGGAGTACACACCCTCCAAATGGAAAGTTTAGCTTCACAACTCTGCTTGTTTTTATGAGTTCCCTGCAAATAACCTGCTCCTATTTTTTGTCTCATTAGATTTTAATCGTTTTATCTTGTACATGTGGCCTTCCCATTGTTATTGTGACTGTTTATTGGAATGTTATTTTATGACTATTTTTTTTCTATGTAATTTTGATGATGATGTTTGTTGTTTATGCTTTGCTTCTCTTTTGCTGTAATACGTTGTCCAGGTTTGGCCCCATGTAAGCCACTCAGAGTCCCCATTTTGGAGATGGTGGCGGGGTATAAATAAAGATTATTATTATTTATTATTGTCCTGACTCAATCCTATGGAATCCTGAGATTTGTAGTTTGACAAAGTTTTAGCCTTCTCTGTCCAGGAGTTGTGCTGCCTCACTAAACTACAAATCCCAGGTTTCCATAACAATGAGCCAAGGCAGTAAAAGTGGTGTCAAACTACTTTAATTATACAGTGTAGGTGCACCCTGGGGCTGACCCTGCTTGTTTAATTCATGGAATGCTAACTCCAAATGATATCAGTTTACCTGCCTGTTTTGCACTTCCCGCTATGAAATGAATGATTAAGCAGTTCAACAAAGAAGAACTAGAATTGGCCTTATTCCAATCGTTAGAGGCTACCAAAGAATGAAGCATGCTATAGATTAACTGAAATAATTTTTTGGCTTGTTCGGTTATGTCCATCAATTTTCTAATACCAATGCTTAACTGACAAGTTGTTCACATTTTTATATATGAAAGATATTTGCTCTGCATCTGGAAATAATAGACTATCTGTTGAGATTAATTTCACAATTCAGCAGCAGATCAGTTGCACAACTTCAGCGCTTTCCAGTAGCTTCTTCCTGCACAGTATTTTCAGTCAACTGCTCCCACAACTGCAGTCACTCTGGAACTCTTTTACAGACACTTGAGCACATGCCCGGCCATTGTCAGTTTTACTATTGTTTTCCCCTCCAATCTAGATGACACTACAAACTTACCACAGCACACAGTTATATCTTGTCTTAGCAGACAGGTTCCTTTAAAACATTACACAGAGCCTTCGGCAAACAGCATCACAGCACAAGGAGAGAATACACTGTACATGACTTCCTTATATACAATTCATTTACACATAGCAATCACTGATTGGTTCCCAACTCATTGACTTAACTCAAACCCAGGATTGCATCATTCACAATCACCTGGACTAGGCCAGAACACATTCCCCAAATGATTCCCTATATACAGTTAATGCATGACTCAGCATTTCCAATAGAAGCCTATTAGCAGTGCATGACTCAGCTATATTACATTACAATACATTGTAAAACCTGACATTATCCAAAGAAAGTTCAATCTGTCATTTTTTTCCCAAAACAACCTTTGCCATCTGACACCAAACTGAAGGTTGGAACTGATAGTTCTGGTTGTATTAGTTGTTTTATTGGTATTGTTTTGTGTTGCTCCTTTATGAAGTTATTCGGTTTTCAGCTGCTATTTTGTAGAATATGACTCATGACCTCCCTGGTTTTATGCTGTCTAATTTTTGTAATAGGATTATAATGCTTTGGTGTTTTATTGTTGATGTGGGTGGCTTAGCTTCCCAAGATATTTTGGGGAAAGATGGAGTATTCAATCCTTTCAAAGAAAAAAAAGAATTTCCAATGGGTTGTTGTAGGTTTTTTCAGGCTATATGCCATGTTCTAAAAACATTCTCTCCTGACGTTTCGCCTGCATCTATGTCAAGCATCTTCATAGGTAGTAAGGTACCTCTACCTCACTACCTCTGAGGATGCTTGCCATAGATGCAGGCGAAACGTCAGGAGAGAATGCCTCTAGAACATGGCCATATAGCCCGAAAAAACCTACAACAACTCAGTGATTCCTGCCATGAAACCCTTCGACAATACATTTGAATTTCCAATATTTGGTATCAGTGCTACTGCTTATGTAGAAAAAAATGATACCACACCCAGAACCTAACCCTAACCCAGATCTGTGAGGTATCAAAAGACTTGGGAGACCCTGATATTGCCAGAAATCCCAAAATATAGAATAAAGAAAGCCTAATGCAGCACACAACCGACTAGTAGAAAACTGTGTATGCTGACTGACAAAGGAATACAGATAGACTCATTAATAGAAGTACTCTGCATTACAGCATTTTGTTGCAGGTCCCAACAACAATGGCAAAATGCAAAAACTAAACTATGCATTCATCAGCATATATCAGAGATAAATTGTACATTTAAATATTATGTTAGTGCCATTTTTGTCATGTCAGGAGTGACTTGAAAAACTGCAAGTCACTTCTGGTGTGAGAGAATTGGCCATCTGAGGGGACACCTGGATGTTTTGGTGTTTTACCATCCTTGTGGGAGGCTTCTCTCATGTCCCTGCATGATGAGCTGGAGCTGATAGAGGGAGCTCATCCACTCTCTCCCCAGATTCAAACCTGCAACCTGTCGGTCTTCAGTCCTGCTGGCACAGGGATTTGACCCACTGCACCACGGGAACCACTCTTCCGTTGGTTCAGCCCAGCGCAGTGGATTAACCCCCTGTGCCGGCAAGACTGAAGACCGACAGATCGCAGGTTCAAATCCGGGGAGAGGCGGATGAGCTCCCTCTATCAGCTCCAGCTCCTCATGCAGGGACACGAGAGAAGCCTCCCACAAGGATGATAAAAAAATAAAATCATCTGGGCATCCCCTGGGCAATGTCCTTGCAGACGGTCAATTCTCTCATACCAGAAGCGACTTGCAGTTTCTCAAGTCGCTCCTGACATGATAAAAAAGTCCAATATTTAAAGGCCTACAGACACATTCAAAGTTTAAAAAGTTATATTTTAGGCTACAGTTTTCAGAATTATGCAGTCATCATGAGTTTCTGGGAGTTGCAAACCAAAATGTAATTTTTCCAAGCCTTAAATCTATGGTATTTCAGCCGAGCATATAAGAACGTCAATGGCAGAAGATGACCCTAGAGAAAAGAACTGTCAGTGTCCCCCTATATTGCATAAGAATTTTGCTTTTAGTGAATTCAGATGACGCTTCTACAGCAATCTTTGTTATATTTCTGTGTTTGCAGGTTGATGACCAAATGAAGCTCCTTCAGAACTGCTGGAGTGAACTATTAATTCTAGATCATATTTATCGGCAAGTGGTACACGGAAAGGAAGGATCCATCCTTCTAGTCACTGGGCAACAAGTGAGTTTACAGACTAGAAATATTGATTTTGCTCTTAACCTTTCACCCATATAGCAGGATTTAAACTCAATCAGAAGCACTTCCATTTTACACTGAAAGCATTTTCCATTGAGCACAGATATTGGCACAAAAAAAGGACTCTGATCTAACAAAAATTTCAAATATAACTTTTAACTCACTTTAAAAAATTGATTCATACCCTAATTCTAGTTAATTGGGCTTCAGTATATAGAGGACTTTATCACACCAGTTTGTTCTCTCTTCACAATCACATTGTTTAAGCAAATGGCAACATAAGGTTATTGGTACAATCACTTTCACACCTTGCTTCAATTGTACAGTGCAATTTATTGGTGCAAATTCCCACAAACAATCTTCTGCACAGCCTTGCTTCATATTATATTTAACCTAAACCGTTGGTTTTTTTCTATTTTGTCCTTTTCCATTCTTTTTTTTTTTTTTTTTGGCAATTCATTTTTATTAGTGAGAGACTGGACATGACCTACATATAGGCAAACATCGACAATAGAGTGAGAAATATACATCCATATATATATATATGTTGAATCCATACATACACATACATATATATTTCCACATGTATATAGAGTTATATACATATGAACATTCTTGTTTTCCCATTTTCCATTCTTGTTTTGTCACAACCGCATCATTTCATTGAGACCTTCCTCTGCTTCACAATATTGGGATTGCAGTGCAAGGACATTATCACACGAGGAAAAGTCACATATGAAACTGGATTCATTTATTTATTATTTATTTATTTAGAAATTTTATATACTGGTCTTCTCACCTCCAATGAGGGATTCAGGCCAGTTTACAACAAGGTGGTTCATACACAATAGTTTGAAAACATCACATAAATAATACACTAATATAAACACATTAAAGTACTATCATATAACTATATAAAGCCAAGTGGTTAGCATAAAAATCACTATTCATCCCCATCCATCCGTGTGGTCAAAAGCCATTGCCTCACTCATCAAATGCCAGATTCCAAAGCCAGATTTTCACCAACTTTCTAAAGGTCAGGAGGGAAGGGGCAGTTCTAATCTCCAATGGGAGAGAGTTCCAGAGCCGAGGGACCACCACCGAGAAGGCCCTGTCCCTCCTCCCCACCAGACGCGATTGCGAAGATGGTGGGACCGAGAGCAGGGTCCCTCCAGAAGATCTTAACATCCTTGATGGTTCATAGGGGAGAATCTGTTCGGACAGGTAATTCATTGCTGTTTTTTTCCTGTCAAAGAAAACAGTCCAATCATTGATCAAGTGCAGTGCGACTATGGGATAGCCAAATCCATCCAAATGTGCCTAGAACCCACTGTAATTGTGCTATATTAGCACTATGTGATAAAGTCCTGAGTTTCAGAAATCCTTTTTGGACTACAACCCTGAAAATATCTCATACATAATAACTTGCTAATTCTGAGTATTGTAACCCAAAAAGGATGTTCACCCCGAAAAAACAAATTGGGGTTGAAATGCCAGAGACTACTCTCTTGTTCCTTCCGCCGGACAAAAAAAATGCCCTCAGTTAGCCCAGAAAAACCATTAAAATTAGGTAAACAGAAGTAATTTTAAAGTTAAAGTTTTTAAAAAAACCCTGGACACTTTCCTTACAAAATCCATTTTTGCACATTCACACACTTACTCAAAAGGTGCCTCTGAACAATGAGTGTGACCGGGCACATTGGGCCGCTGACTCTCCTTTTGAGTGGTTGATCCAAGAGGATTCCCTGCCGCTTGGTGGCTGTGTTTCATTTATATTTTCCTAGAGCGAGGCAAAGTAAATGAGAGTGACAAGCTAAATTAAATCAAATCCGTGCCCTTTGAAAAGTATTTCAGCTCTAATGGAAATGAATGTACAGTGTCATGGGAAGGCAGAGTGCATTTGGTGTGCTTTATTTCTGATTCAAAGTGAAACCAAATGATGGTCCACTGGCATTTAAACAGCTGAAACCTAAACTGCTTCCATTTACAAACATATTGAGGAAACAGTTGCTTGTTTGGACTGCAGTCGACATCACTCATTTGCTATTCCAAACTGACATAGGGAGCCTTAACCTTAATGTAAACCATGTTGATTTTTTCCTTTGGATAGATAGTCATATCTGCTATCTACCAAGGAAAAAGATGTACAAGATATGTAAAGATTATTGGAATTGCATGAGAAAACACTGGGCAGAGTAAAACAGTTTTGAAGTGAAATTGCTCTTCATGAGCTCTGCAGCATATTATACACCCAGGACAGATTTTTCTGAAGTTGAAAAAGCTCTTCTATGTACTTTTGTGTGAGCTGATTTCCGAACTCTATAAACCTCCTAAATCATGATTGCATCACTAAACATGGCCCCCACAAGACATGGCAGTCAAAGTGGTGTAAAACTGCATTAATTCTACAGTGTAGAGAGGTGCAACTGAGAATCATAGAATCAAAGAGTTGGAAGAGACCTCGTGGGCCATCCAGTCCAACCCCCTACGAAGAAGCAGGAATATTGCATTCAAATCACCCCTGACAGATGGCCATCCAGCCTCTGTTTAAAAGCTTCCAAAGAAGGAGCCTCCACCACACTCCGGAGCAGAGAGTTCCACTGCTGAACGGCTCTCACAGTCAGGAAGTTCTTCCTCATGTTCAGATGGAATCTCCTCTCTTGTAGATTCCATTGTTTTGTGTCCTAGTCTCCAGAGAAGCAGAAAACAAGCTTGCACCCTCCTCCCTGTGGCTTCTTCTCACATATTTATACATGGCTATCATATCTCCTCTCAGCCTTCTCTTCTTCAGGCTAAACATGCCCAGCTCCTTAAGCCACTCCTCATAGGGCTTGTTCTCCAGACCCTTGATCATTTTAGTCGCCCTCCTCTAGACACATTCCGGCTTGTCAATATCTCTCTTGAATTGTGGTGCCCAGAATTGGACACAATATTCCAGGTGTGGTCTAACCAAAGCAGAATAGAGGGGTAGCATGACTTCCCTAGATCTAGACACTATGCTCCTATTGATGCAGGACAAAATCCCATTGGCATTTTTTGCCACCACATCACATTGTTGGCTCATGTTTAACTTGTTGTCCACGAGACTCCAAGATCTTTTTCACATGTACTAATCTCAAGCCAGGCGTCCCCCATTCTGTATCTTTGCATTTCGTTTTTTCTGCCTAAGTGGCAGAAAGAAGAAAACACACATTGTTTGGTTGGTGTAGATGTGACCTTACAGTGATTTTTTTCCCTGCCCCTGCCTTGTCGAGCCATTTCTGAACTTAACTCCATGTGCATTTCCATTTGTCACTGTAACCTTGACTGCTGGCAGATTTCATATTTATGTTTGGTCATCGTATATAATATTCTTAGAAATTACAGTTTAGTAAATAAAAAGGGAAAGAAAGATGAGAGGCAGAAGAAAAGATAGGAAAATCTAAAAAAAAAAACCCGTTCTTACAGAAAGAATTATGATTGAATCCTCCGGTGCTTCCTTCAAACTAAATTTCCTATTACTTTCTGCTTCCCTTTTTCTTCCTTCTTGTTTTTCTCCTTATTGCTGATGATCATTCAAAAGCAATAAGGAGATAGTTCATCAGCAATAGTCATTATAATTTTAAAAAGAAATAAAGTGCATTTGTTACCCAGACATCCTAAAAAAGTGGGGAATGAAATAACCTTTGACAAAGGCACAGTATTGCAGTGGAAGTTTTCTTCCTCTGTATCTAAGTTTTTAGTTTTCACCCATTTTATTTTCTACACTTCAGCAAAAACTAATTGCACCAGGCTGCAATAGTACAGGTATCATTATTTGTTTCTTTGCTCTCAGAGCTTGGAAGTTAATTGTAATTAACTAGCAAGAGTTATCATTTGCAAGTCCCCTCCAAATAATTAGGTGGTTGTTATTGTGTGCCTTCAAGTTATCTCTGCTTTCTGTTGTCCTGGGAATTTTTTTCAGAAGAGGTTTGCCTTTGCCTTCCTCTAAGGCTGAGATAGTGTGACTTGACCAAGATTACCTACTGAATTTCCATGGTTGAGCAGGGATTCACACCCTGGTTTCTCAGGACCTCATCATACTAGAGCAGGAGTCCTCAAACTATGGCCCGGGGGCCAGATATGGCCCTCCAAGGTCATTTACCTGGCCCTCGCTCAGGGTCAGCCTAAGTCTGAAACGACTTGAAAGCACACAACAACAACAACAACAACAACATTCCCATCTCATCAACCAAAAGCAGGCCCACACTTCCCATTGAAATACTAATAAGTTTATATTTGTTAAAATTATTCATTTTAATTATTGTATTGTTTTTAAGTGGTTTTTGCACTACAAATAAGATATGTGCAGTGTTCATAGGAATTCGTTCATATTTTTTTCAAATTATAATCCGGCCCTCCCAACAGTTTGAGGGACTGTGACCTGGCCCTCTGTTTAAAAAGTTTGAGAGCCCCTGCACTAGAGCATCTATCCACTTTAAATCCAGTTGTTGCCTCCTGAAGAATCCTGGGGTTTGTAGTTTAGGAAAGGACCTTTGAACTGCTCAATCATAGAAGTCCTGGGCCTCAATAAACTATAAATAACAGTATTCTGCAGGAGGCAACAAACTGGATTTAAAGTGAATAGATGCTCTAGTGTGATGAAGTCCTCGTGTGCTGTCGCATGCTGGGCCTGTGCATCAGACTGTAGACAGGACATAAATTCTGTGTGCCCAATAGGACGCCGGGGCTGCCTCAGATTAAAGGCCTTTGGATTTCCTTAAAACACAGTCTCTAGAATACTTAAAGGTTCAACAAAGTTATTTATTAATGAAAACAAACAGGTACTTTAAGGCTTTCTTAACAGTCTATTGGCTCTTTCAATCTTGTCCACAGGGAACAGGCACTATTTTCTTAACTGTAACTAATGGGGAAATTCTTAACTTCTAATCTGGGCAATCTGTCTTTGCCTCTGTTGGCGTGGAGCCCCTACACCCAGTACCAACTGCTTCTGGCTTCCGTGAGAG